AAAAAAGCCGAAAGGCGCATTGTCGTCAATGTATTAAATCTCATTCTCTTGGAATCAGACCACCTTATTGCTTGCTTACAACACATCAAAAGAGATGGAATGCCCTGTGGACCGTTCACAATGCCGTGGAGGCTTCACTCCCAATTTCCCAATTTTCGTTGGAGCTCTTCAGTGTTGGATTGCGCACTGAAATTCTCTCAATTCAGCACGACCACCACTACCAGACGAGCCAACAGTGCAATTTCCTGAGCCCATACTCACACTGCTCCCAATGGCATGGCACCCGGACCCTGCGGCTAGGCCCGATTTCTCGCAGGTCAGTTTCGCTTTTCTCTGCCATGGTTCTCCTCTTTGAACTACAACTAATTGCAGTGCTTCTTGTTCAGATTGTCACCATTCTCGAACCACACGTAATTTGTTCCGTGCAAAATGTGGACGCACAAGGTACTGTATCCCACCTGAAAACGCAATGGGAACAGTTGGCGAATAATCCGATGCGGAAAATCGGTAGGTTGTTTATGGTTTTCCACTGAAAATCTTGGCCTGGACCCTAGGAACAGGATGGAAAGATGTATGGCATAAAATCGACCATCTGCTTCTTAGGTGGCAGTGGATGGAAGTTCATACTGGAGCACATAAATGATATGCAATCCCCTTCCATCCTTTTGAATGATGGTGTGTAAACCTCAAATTTCGAGAATAGTATGAGTGCGAAATCTTCCAGACCAACCGTCACAATCGCACAATCCTTCGAGGTTGGATTTTCGATTACAAGGCAGCCCATTAGAATAAGGTGAAGGTGGTCAGTGGTGCAGATGAAGAAAAACCATGAGAAACGGCCCAGAACCCGAGAAATGGGACCCCTTTTTGCCCGTTGATTTCCGCATTGATGCGACTCTCATCGGTGCTGCCCTCTTCAACGCTAACGCTCTCTCTGCTAAACGGCTAGAGGTCAGACAGCGAGAGGGAGGCGTACCGCGCCGATAGCGCCGCGGGGAAAGTTGCTAGATCGCTGGGGGATCCTTCGCTGCACATTGCGTTTCGGCCCGTCTGCACCCTTAAGAGATTGGTCTGTCTTTCCACTAGGTAAGTTTCGACCTCCGACCTTATCGAGAAATCCTCCTTTAGAGGTCGTATGAAGTTGAGCTTTTATGGTTGCTTCAGCTTTTTAAAGGCAATTCCCTGAATAAAACACGTGATAAGCACTCTGATCTCGACATATATCATCTCGATGGGTGGGCGGCGTTGCAACGGGGACCGATGGTTGCAAGCTCGTAAGGACTAGGGCCCATTCGCGCAATTTTTGCGAAGCTAGCACGGAGCTTACGATTTCCTCGTGATTCCTTCCACTAAGTCGGGCTCATTCGGTCAATGTCCTTTATGGAAATGATTCAATCTGAACATTCTTGACGCTTCTATGGGCCATGATTTCAGCAACATCCACCACGCTGTCGTCGTTGAACGGAATAACGTCAAGTGGGACAGTTGAGGAGCTTCGACAACGCATCGATCGAAATGGATACGTGTGTCAAAACACTAAGGACTAGTTGAGCCGTTCCGATCGTGTTTATACTGAACTTTGTTGCTAATCGAATTAATTGCCCAAAAAATAAATCCTACTCATCCAATTCTCGAATTTGCCCCATAAAAATGTAAATTAGTTGATAACTGTGTAGATCCATAAATAAGCGTGTTGTTGCTAACTAACTTCTACCAAATGCTTATTGTATGTACATATTTTATGACGTTCATGACATTTTACGGGTACTTATTATCATTGAATGAATATGATTGAGTGAATGAATATGAACGATTATCACCGACTGATTTCTGGAACGGTTCTTCTACTTTTGCCCTACTATTGAAGGAGATAAGCAAACCAGCCCTTTGGTGTTTCTGCTGGAGCCGTATGCTGAATGTTGGAAGGGGATGGGGTCCCCGACGGTCGACGGACTACTTCAACTCGGTCCTTAAAACCGCCTCAATTTGATGCTTACCTCAGGACTAAGCCTTAAAGAGAGGAATGGACCTGCGCTCTCTCGCCTCTCTCCAAGGATTAGTCCTGGGATAAAACGCCAAAAGGTCTTGTTTGCTGACCTCCTATTGAAGGCACAACCCAGGCAGAAGTCGTGTGAACGCTTTCCTTCGGTCTGTAGTATGGGAACCCTGGAGGACAATCACAAATGTGGCGTTCCCGTGCACGGAAATTCGCCCCACAAGAACGCTTTGGGCTTGCAAAGTAAGCTGCTAAAGCGAGCAAAGCTGCATTTGCCGTTTCAATTCCTTTTGGGATGCGGCACGCATTCTACTTCCATTTGTACATTCGTAGTGGCGTTTGAATGCGATGTGGCCTATACAATGACTTGCGGGGGCCAGCCGATGTTCAAGTCAGTGTTTTTATCCTCCCAGACAAGTCTGGTACCAATTAACCGACCCCGGAGGGATGGAAGGCTTGGTTGGCCCGGGCGACTCACGACCCAGGATTTGATCCCGGACCGCTCGCGTGGTAAGCGCGCCACTTGTCACTACACCACTTCCGCCCTAATGGTGGAATTAATTGGCAAAGAAAGCTCGCGAGGGCGCTGTCCATCTTCATACTCAAAAGGAGATTGAGGAAAATGTAGTAGTTGCATAAGTTGGGCAACAGGATTTTCCCACGAAGTTCTTATTTTTATGCAAACCTATACTCACGAATTAGGTAATGATGAAAATACTGCTATCTCTAAGCTTCATTTGATATTGTATTGATGAGTGATCTTGAAGCTCTTGTAATTTACTATTTATTGGTTAGCTTTCGGCAATAATGCCATCATCAGACCTTAAAATTACAACAATTGCACATGATCAACTAGTTACATTACAAAAACACTATACATCAATACATACCAGCGGGAGAGTAGTGGGACCTTTCGGGGTCTGGCGGTTTCATTTTCTTTTCATTTTCGGGTTGCATTAAGCCGATCCGGATTGATGTAGGGCTTGCTAGTCTTCATGCTGCATCCGGTGCATGCACCCGCCCTCCCCAATAATGGCCCTTCTCTGCATACAGACGGTCTGTGAACGGATGTCCTGCCACGCATCTCTGCTTCGGAGCAGCTCTATTAGGAAAAATCGACTTGGAAATTAATCCGTATTCAACTGGCCATAACTATCCTTGAAGTGGAGCATTTTCGATTTGGAAAAAGATTTGGAAGTTCATCGACAATAACAGGTAGTTAAAGCAGATACCAACTTTAGAGGAAATACTAAGAACTTTTCTTCTGGGAAGATTAATTATGAAAACTCTCGAGAAGTGCGAGTTTTTACACTTTTGAAAATCATAACTTCCTGCAACTGTTATTTGGACTGTTAAAATGATATTTGCGGTGCCCATGTATGGATCACCACGGCCTGCGTTGAGTTGAGCTGTGACCCTTCGAAAGTGAAATACCGAATTCCACCAGAATGTCGTGCTTCACTTTGAGTCAGTCCTCAAATTGAACTCACTAGGGGCTCTGGCACGTTACATCTAGCAGCAGTCTAACCTATCAGGGAAGCTCTTATGGGCAACAGTTCAACTCTTCAATAAGTTTGGAACCACCACAGATGGAAAATTCGGGGACTCGAAAGTTACCACCAGGATAATTATCAGATGCAGAAACTAGGTCTCCCCTTGTCGACTTTCGTACACCCAAAATGAAAAAATTGATGTGAAAACCCAGCCAGACACTCTAAAGACTCCACATCTGTAGTGGATAGAAAGCCACACGAGTAGTCTACTTAGAACTTCTTACAGGACCGAGCACCCAAGAATAAAGCAAAAATCCTCCAAAAAGCGATTTTTCGAGTTCGTTGCTTTCGAAGAATTGTTACAATGGAACCATCCACCTAATAGCTCTAGATTTCTGTATTTCACACCCTGGATGCAAGCGCAAATAAATGCAACACAAAAGTTTGATTCCCTGAAGAAGGCAGAGCAGAAGGCCTGGAAACATTTGGACACGCCTTAGTTGCGTGCCACCGCACGCGCCATCCCCTCATCCGAAGGCTCGTGTTAACGGGGAAGTGGCAGATCTCAATTCTATTCTGGAATTACTTTGAGGTAAGAGTTACAAATACTTCCCAGAAGTTGGTTTGTTCCATCGAAGCTACTATGCGTTTTTAACGACACAATGTCTTGGTCCTCATAATTTTGGACCACCCTGTACTTTGAATATCCGTTGGCGTCTTCAGGAGTAGTAAAAAAAGTGGTGAATGTTGGTTCAGAGCTTGGGAGCTTGCGGTGGCGCAAAATCACGTCTTTGCAGAATGGACCTGATAAATGGAATTAAATAAAGTAGTTCGTCATTAGAATAGTCCACATTTAATATCTGGAAAACCGAGAATACGTGAAGGAGTGGTTTTTCTGCTAGCTATAGGTTACCTAGCTACCGCTTCTCAGTAGCCTATTCTTAGATACAGTGGTTTTCACATTGAGCAAAAACCCTTCACAGAACTGGTATTTAGAAAATCCTTCAATTTTTTTGCAGGTAAGCTCAGCTTCGGTTAAAGAGAAGAAAGAGGCTCTGTTGACCTAAAATGGTGCTCTTGCAAACAGCTTAACGAGAACTTCTTGACGCTTTATAGAACGTCATGATGTAAAACTTTGAGCATCTCTCTAGAAGTGGAGCTACAACAAAAGTATTAGTCAATGTAGCCTCGATTTCAGAAGACGAGAAGAGCGTCGAGTGCAGACCAACACCACCACAATGACAAAACACTCCAAGAAAAAGTGGCTTGTGCCTATTGTTTTTTTCTTTGGCCATCGTTTACTATAGTGTATGGTCTGCACTCGACCCTCTTCTCGTGTCCCGAAATAGAGTAAATACAGTATGTGTAGTTGGTCTTGGTACTTTCCCCAGGCGGGACTCGAACCCGCACTCCGCTTACGTATTAAATCGTGCGTCGAAGGCATATCCTTCGACGAGTCAAGTTAGTGTGGTAAGCGCGCTCGCTAGTGAAAGTAGACGTTAAAATGGACTGATAGCTATAAAAGAACAGAAAAACAGGTTCCCTTCTTCCAGCAGCCCATTGTCATCTCTTGAATAATTGTGAAGGGTGTGGCAGCTTTTCGATTAGGTCAGGTAAGTTCTGATTGTATACCTCTAATTTGCTCTCAAGAAACAACATTAAAGTCGGAGCCTGAGCCTATGCCAAGCTTGAGCTCAACTTTTGCCATCACATCAAACTTCGGTGACGTGATTTAGCTGGAAGGCTTGAGCGTCCGCCGTCCGCTGGTTGTATGCTGCAATCCACTCTAAAGGAATCTTGCGCGGAAAAATCATGATTCTATTTCAGCCATAAATCACTGGCTTGAGACTCATTATCCACGATAATAGTGAAAAGAACTGAAGTATTGCTTTCGTTTTGATTAGAAATTCGAAAACTCGAAAAGGCTGCTACGCGTTCGAATTGCCCACGGACGTCTTTCACGAATGCTGGCGACGGGGATGCTCAAACTTGGTTCTTGGAGTGCATTCACTAGAAGCTCTTTCTGGCCTTCTGCTTCGTTGCATTCACATCTTACACTTCTACTCCATCCTATTCCATCGATCGATTTGTCTCCACTCTCCGAAATCGCGCGCTTTAACCCGATTCTCTCATTGCGTCGCCTGGTACGTAGCCGGCCAAACGCCGTCTTCTTTCCATGCCTCGCCTGGCTCTGCCTCCTGGTCCTTCGATGGTCCATAACGTGTAGTTTTTGTACGTTTGTTTCTCTTCAGAAACCGAATCTTCATGCGTGAAACTTTGTGTGCTATTTCCAGTGATCACAACTGACATATTCATGTTAGGAAAGAGTGCAAGAATTTTCCGCGCAAGATTCCTTTAAATTTTCTTCTAAAAACTTTCCATTTCATACTTGATATTCATCTTCATCAATTGACCTCTGATGTCCATGTTACACCTAACCAATCATTAGGGAGGGTAAGGGGGAGGGAGGGGATGGAGAGGTGGAATTCGCAGTTGGCCTCTATGATGGTTTTAGAGAACCCAGGGAACCTTCACCGAACCGCCGTCGCATCTGCTCTCTCTCATGCTTCGACACATTCCACTCACGCTTTGAAAAGTATGAAGGAAATATGAGTAGTCCCTGGAGGATGTGCCTTACTTTGTGCTTCGGTCGAAAATTTGGAAAGGAGTTAGCAGATTTAATCAGTCTGCCTGAACAATTTTTCCCACTTTCTTTAAATTCGACATGCGGAAAGAGGGATATCGGACATCTTGCCCCAGTTTATTTATTTAATTTATTTATTTATTTATTTATTTATTTATTTATTTATTTATTTATTTATGCGCCCCAATGACGCGCTCTTACACACTGGGTAGGTGATGCAAACACTAAATCAACATTGCATAAATACTAAATAAATAGACAAGAGGATCGGAGTCGTACCATCTAACCGCTATCATAGTGGGAAACAGCCATCGTAGAGGAAAAAAGTCAATGGTAAGAAGTAATAAAGCAGAGACCGAGACAGAAAACACCCTAGCCACTACAAGCGGAAATCCGGCAGACACCCGCACCAGT